CCACATTATCTTGCAAAGGAGGAACATTGTGTTGCCATTGACGCGGCGGACCACCGTAATCATCTAAAAATTATGAACAGAACACCAACCCTTTTGCTAGTTGGCTGTTGGGGAGAGGTCCCCAGATCCCTCTCGCACTACACGTGACTAACGCCCTCCCTCTCCCTTCCCTTCTCCTCTCTCTCTCTTTCTCTATCTCACTCTCTCCTTAGCAGCTCTGAAACAAAAAGCAAATAATCGATTTCTTCTTCCATCAATCCAAAACTCAAATCTCTCTCTCTTTCTCTGTCTCTCATTTCTTGGTCTCTCTCACTTTCTTCTTTATCTCTCTTGCTTTGGTTTGTATGCGTTAAGACGATTCCGCGCTATTAACGGATGAATCAGATTCAAATGCTATTGGATGCCCATCCAGATTCAGACTAAATGCTTGGATCTGCTGTCGGTTACATGATCTTCCGCCTGAAGCAGTTGGGTCACTGAAATATTTATATCAATGATTTTGTATAATCATAACTACCTTTAGCCTTAATATCTCTCTTATGGGTTAATAATTGTGGCGAAATGGTTTTTCATTCCAAATATATAAGAACATGGAGGAGACACGAGAAGATGCAGGGCCGACAGAGCAAGGGTTATCTAATGTGTCGTGGTTGCCTTCAGATTTTTCTGAAAACTTTGGATCTGTTTCTTTGGATTCTCATGATGAGGAGAACTCAATGGTGGAGTGGTTGACGACAGGGATGAAGTCGAAGGAGTAGACGATGGAGGAGCAGACTGAGTCGTGGCAGAGAGTGAAGAGGGAAGCTGACATAAGACATAGCTTTGCCGTTTGCCACGTCAAACAAAAGTTAACGCCGTTCAATTTTAAGGACTAATAGTAATAATTTCAAAACTACAAGGATTAAAAGCAATCAAAGTTTCGAGTAGGGACTAAACCCAAAATCTTGTGATACTTTAGGGACGAAAAACATATTTAACCCTTTTTATTATGATCTTATGTACTTTTATTTTTTTTAATAAATTTTTATATAATAATAAATGGTTAATAAATTTTGAAATTTTTAATAAATGATTATTTATATTAAAAATAATTAATATTTTTTATGTAAAATTCATATTTGGAAGTAGTGACTTTCTGAGACCTTTCACATGCATGCAATTCCTTTTACTTGCATGCAATTGGAACTAATGCTTTGCAAAGCAAGCCAAAATATGCAATTATGCCCCTAACATACATAAAACAAAAGCAAAAGTTGCCCCTCACAAGATATATACTTTTAATTAGTTAATTAATGTATTCATTTTTATAAAAATGAATACATTTTTAATTTAAAACTAAATTATACACAAATTGAAAAAATTAAAAAGGTTAAATTTTTTACAGCATATATATATAATCATCACATTTATTTTATGCTAGAGGATTAACATTATATTTGAGGTTAATAATAGGGTTGAAAAAATAATATGTAAATAGGATCTTACTATACTTTATCAGTAAACTATTAAAATTACTCATTATGGACAAATAACTTATCTATTTTTATTAAACGTAGTTCACTAATTGAATTAATGCAAGAGTTTGTTAGTTTAAATAGCTCAGGGCAATTAACATTGGGATGTGTTTAAGCCTCCTTAAAATACTACTTAACAACTAAAAAAATCAAATTATTAATAGTTGATTAAAAAAAAGTTTATTTCGAATAAAAAAATGTTTAATTCGACTTTTTTGATAAGAGATATATTTGAAATTGTAAAACGAAAGCAAAATCTGTGAAGTACCAATTACAGGAGAAACAGTGCTAAATGATAGAAAGATGATTTATGTTAAAGGTGGAGATTTTATGCTATTTCTTTGATACAAATAAACCTTTTCTTTGTTCGTAAAATAAGAGAAACATTTTATAATGTTAAGATCAGTTCAGTTAATTAAAGAACAAAGTGCTAAACATCTTGATCTCATCAATTTGATTATTCAATTGATTAAATTATTCAGTAGATTAGTCGTACCAAATTAAAAAATGAAAAAAGAAACTCTGTTTTCATGTCTTCTCTTTCTAACGTTACTTCATCCCTGAATGTCTAAGAAGGGCAGGTATAATTTCTGTCTGAATCTTTCTGTCATCTGATGCACATACAGCTATTTCTCTGAATGATCTGAAGCCACTGTTTCATTTTCCAAAAAAAGCTCAAAAGGCTAAAGTCAATGGTTATGGGGATATCCTTCTTTGTCCTATTTTCATCCACTCTGAGTCTAGCTTTTCTACTCTCAAAATGGTTCTCAAAAGGTAAAACAAAAAATGTTCCAAAAGGGTCTCTGGGGTACCCTATCATCGGAGAGACCCTTAGTTTTCTTAAAGCACAGAGACAAGACAAGGGTTCTGAATGGTTGGAAGAACGGATATCTAAGTATGGTCCTGTCTTCAAAACCTCCTTAATGGGGTCCACCACAGTGTTTGCAATTGGACAAGCAGGAAACAAGTTTATCCTTGGTTCACCAGACGATGTGCTTTCTGCTAAGAAACCCATCACCCTGAAAAAGATATTTGGAAGACAAAGCTTAGTTGAACTCACAGGACACAGGTACATAATCGTCAACTCTAACTCACTGATGCAGCTAAGGTTGTTTCTTTCTATTATTTAGATGAATGTCAAATTAATCCTTATATGATGATGATGATCTTGATTCAAATAACAACACTTTTAAAATAAGGTGTTTTATGTCTGGATGAATGGATTAATTATGAATAGTTGAATAGTAATGGATAAAAGATTTTGGAATGGTGTGATTATTTGGATAGTTCATAGTACTGTGATACCAATACTGGTGGTCCTTGTTTCAGCTTCTGATAGAAATGATTTTGAAAAAGTTGAGGTTAAAAAGATTTATTTGTGTTTGGGATGATATTTTTAAAGTGAGTTTGAAGGAAATGAGTTTTGTTTGATTTCCAACATGGTTTTCAGAAGTGATAAACAGAATATATAGTTCACCTTTTTTTCTTTTCTGGTGGCTGTGTTAATGTTTCATGCAGATACAAGTTAGTGAAGGGGGAAATGCTGAAATTCTTGAAACCCGAATGCCTTCAGAAGTATGTAAAAAAGATGGATGAATTGGTGAATGCTACATTACTGAGAGAAGTGACAGAGAAAGAAACAGTGGGAGTTGTGGTGTTGATGAAGAAACTGTCCTATGATTTATCATGCAATATATTGTTTGACATTAAGGATGAGCATACCAGGGAGGCTTTGTTTGTGGATTTCACTTTAGCATTTAAAGCAATTCATTCTCTTCCCATCAATTTCCCTGGTACCACATTTTGGAGAGGCCAAAGAGCCAGGGCAAGAATTGTTGACAGAATGATTCCTATTATGAACAAAAGATGGGAGGAACTGTCTAAAGGAGTCTTAAGTTCTACCAATGACATGATTTCTGGCTTGCTTGCACTGAGGGATGAAAATGATCAACCTCTACCACATGATTTAATTACAGACAATTTTATATTTTTACTTGTTGCTAGCCATGACACATCTGCCACTCTTATGAGCTTGATGATATGGAAGTTATCTAGAGATCCAGAAGTTTACAAAAAAGTTTTACAAGGTACCACTTTTACGCTATGATTTGCAGTCCAAAAGTAAGAAGGAAACCAATGGACCCTTAGTCCTTTCAGTTGTTTTACTAAATGCTTCTATGCAGAACAAATGGAAATCATAAAGCAAAGGGAAGGAACAGAAGAGAGACTAACATGGGAAGAGATTCAAAAGATGAAATACACATGGAGACTGGCTCAGGAGCTGATGAGGATGATCCCTCCCTTGTTTGGCAGCTTTAGGAAAGCACTTAAAGATACTAGCTTTCAAGGATATGACATACTAAAAGGGTGGCAGGTGATATTTGCATCCTCAAAACATCATAAATCATTGTTTTTTTTGGGGACAAACTTTAATGTTACATTGGTTGTTTGGTCAGGTGTATTGGGCAGCATATGGAACCCATATGAAGGATGATATATTTGAGAATCCAGAGAAGTTTGATCCATCTCGTTTTGAGAATCCAACAAAGCCAATTCCACCTTATTCTTACCTTCCATTTGGTGCAGGGATTCATTACTGCATAGGAAACGAGTTTGCAAGGATTGAGACCTTGACAACCATTCACAACTTTGTGAAACTGTTTGAATGGTCTCAAGTAAACCCAGAGGAACCAATTACCCGTCAACCAATGCCATATCCATCCTTGGGTCTCCCAATTAAGATCAAACCCAGATCTAATATGCCTTGATCCTCTTCTTATACACTGCATTCCTTTCTTATTATTGCTGTAAATTATTATTTTAGTTATCACTGTCATCAATGCTAATAATATTCTCTCTTCTAAATTTTTGATATGTTTTTTTTCTGTTGTTGGAGATTGTACTATATATATAACTACAACAGTGTGTGTGTATATATATATATATATATATATATACCACTATCATTCGTTAGTAATTAATATCACAAAAGACAAAAAAGTCAAACTCGTTTAAAAGAAACATCAAATGTAAAAACCGTGTGGGAGAAAGAACTAGCCAGCAACATATATTTGGCAAAAATATTGATCGAAGAAGGCACTATATATAGCCGGCATTAACAAGCTTTCAATATAGAAACATTTTCTCATTCATCAGTTTGATCCATGCAATTTGAACAGCTTGTATTCGTCGTTTAGGATAACTAGGGATTTACCAGAGAATGAGATGCTGGCAGACAAGAAAGTTGGCGATTATTTTGATGCCAGACTTTGGCAGTTAATATTGTATACTGATACCAGTAACAAGAAGAAAAGACACAATGATAAAAAGCGAAATATATAATTTAGACCTTTCGATTCAAATAGAATGAACAAATAGAATGAAACAATAGTATAAAATAATATCAGATAAAACAAACTCGGAAAGAACACATTATCATGAGGTACTATATTAATTATAGCATATGGTAGTACATTAATATTTGTTGTTGGTTTCAAAGAGGGAGGTTGTAATGAGCTGAGAAAGGAGAATGAGTTGCAGACATGACAAAGGAGGCTTCGGTGCTGGCAATGGAAAGAGGAGACCTTCTAGGTCTTGAGGAGGCCATGCTATGGTGACCATAGCCTCTATCACCACTCCTCCTTGGTCCTTTCTCAGACCATATTAGCTCTGCATGCTTCAATGTGCTTGGATACCTCCAGCTGCAACACCCTACCATCCCTGCCCTTTCTATGTACCTGTGTCAAAATAGTTTATCATGTTATATTACAGTAGAAAATATAAAAATCCATAATTAAATTATGATATAAAAATCTAATATAAGATGATTTTAAAGAGTATATATGGCTAGCAAGTTAAAATGGGATAGTGATATTTGGGAATCCTACCTCAACTGAAAATAAGACAATTTGATAATATATAAGTAAATAATATTTAAATCATGAATTAAAATCTATTATAATAAAATTTATTATTTATTGAATATATCGTGTCAAATCTTATTAAACGAACACTTATTAATTTTTTATCTAGAACAATTTTTGCATGAACGCATAGTTTCTTCTTTGTCTGTGACAGAAATGTTGTTTTCTTGCAGCGTTTTCAAGTAAAACAGTTCATTTGGATATCATTACCTTTGGCTGAATCTCAATCCAAGACACTCAATGCACTTTCTTCCTTCTGTCATTTCTCCCATGCCTATTTCCACACACTGCCTGCAATAAACCCTGCCACATACCTGCATACCCCAGAAACATCTTAACATAAACCTTATGTATCATATATTAGCAAAGTTCAACTTTACTCAATTATACAGTCCCTTCTAAAAAAGAGTAAGAGTTTGTAACTTGTTGTAAATTATGCATGATATTCCAATGTTCGTCAGAAAAAAAAAATCATTTTTCCATGCATTAATCCTCTTAATTATTTCAAAAACCTTACATTGTAATCTATAAATCAGAGAAACTGCCGTAAATATGAAAAAAAAAGGCAGAAAAATGTCTTAAAACACAATATATTGTAATTTACTTAGACAATTTCATTATCTAGTTACTGAATCATAAACAATGCGCATGCAAAGACATACCAGGCATCTAGTTCTGAAAAGATAAACATAGTTACTGCAAATGGTGCAAATAGTAGAGTGAGGAATCCCTGGCCTCCTTCGTCGACCAGATCCACCTTTTCCAGAAGCAAAACTGTCACCACTCTTCATGCCATCATAGCTCATGCTATACTCACTGGCCCTGCTAATTTGAGCCCTTACAGCACTACCACTTGCATGGTTAAAATGTCCCCACGATAAGTCACCACCTCCGTGGCTGAAATCATGATGCTGATAGTGATGACTGTGGTTGAGTCCCTCCAAGCCCTTTCTGAAGTCAAGGCTAGGCACATTGGAAAGAGAAGGTGAAGGTGAAGATGAGGGTACCTTTGTGGGGTTCTTGTTAGCTTCAGAAACATGTTCAGTTGTGGGCATTGAAGTGTTTTTGTGGTGTGAGGAAATGACATTGGGTAGGTCTTGAAAGGTGAGGTTAACAGAGTCATCAGGGATTCCTTGGTACAGTTCTTCAAGTCCTAGTTTTGGCTTTGCCTGCAGAGTGTTCATGTGATTATCCGCCATTGGGATGAGAGAATGAAGTGATGATGATCGAGCTATGAACTTGTGTGACAGAAATATTTAAGAGAATGGGATGAGAAGGTAAAAGCTGTAGCAGGCTTGTTTATTACGTCCATTCAAAATAATGACAATCATATGTAGCCAAACTGTGTAAGGCCGGTCGAAAATAAATTAGGAAATAAGGTTACATGTGTAAAAACATCTGTACATACTTCTAAAGTAGAAAAATAAAAAGAAAAAAAGGAAAGTATTTACATATAAATACTAAAAAATGACAATATTGAAAAAATTATATAAATCTTTGGTATAATTATTTTATAAATTTTCTAATAGAGAGAGGTGATAATTTCAAGGTTGGGATTAAATAACAAATGTGGGTGTCAATAGCAGTTGTTGTGTTGGTCATTAATTAGCAGCTGCTTTTTGGTAATTGGAGACTCCCTTTTGTTTTTGAGCCATGTTATTGGAAACCTCAAAGTTATTGTCTAAATCTCCTCCAACCAAAAGGACAAAAATACAGTTTTGGTATTTAGTTAAAATTATTTGTTATGAAGACATGTCTTGTTAACACAAGGGCACTTGTTATTTTAATTTTTTAAGGGGTCAATAACAAAATTTACTTATTTATATTAAAAATATTTTTACCATTGACACCATAAAAATATTCTTTTGTTATATATTTTGAATTCATACATTTAATCATATGAAACCCTAAAACTGCAAAACCCCATTCTCATTTTACATTTGTTCTCAACCTCCCTTTTTCAACCCTCTTCTCAATTTCCATTTCCTTTTTTTTTCTCTTTTCTTGTTTATCAACTATTCTTGAGGAAGCATTGAAGAACTCATCACCCCAATATCATCAAGAGTGGTAGTCGAATAAGGAAAATTTTTGTCTTTCATATTTGAATCAAATTTGTTTTAAATGAAATTATCTCTCTCCCTCTTGTGCTATGTGCTGTTAGAGCTTCCTCAAGGCTTCTATTTTTATCTTAGGTTCCAATGGAGTTATAGTCACTACCTAGGGGCTTTTATTTCTTATTCTAAAGTTGTGCAAAAGGTTGTGACTTAGTGCCTTTTATTGATAGGATTTTTTTTGAATTTTTTAGTTTGAAATTGTTTGGATAGAGTTTATACATTGTATCTCGTGTTTGAGAATACAAATAAACAAGTTTTGAGAGATTGCACGTGGGGCTTGAGACTTAAATCAAGAAATTTTTGAAATTTTGGAACGTCACTGCTAAGAGGTACCAACTATAACTAAGCGCGAGCTTAATTTAAAGCCCCTTGGAAGCAAGACACTAATGTTTTGGCTTTGAGTGCTACTCTTGGCCAGGAATGAACGGATCGGATCGAGCACGAATAGTGTCTACCCGCAACCCGACCCGCATGCAAAAAATTGTATTGCAACCCGATCCGTTACTTGCTGGATATCCGCATAAAAAAAATTCGTGGATTTTTTTCAACCCGCGGATACCCGTTGGATACCCGTTTTCAACCCATAAATATTTAAAAAATATATTTTGTGAATTTTTAAATAAGGTTTAAATTAAATTACAAGTTAAAGAGAATAGTTTAATATATTTGTTACATATTAAAAAGACACAATGTAATTTTTAAACAAGTTAAAGAAAACAAATACTGAACAACTTAAAAAAAAATGAGGAAGAAACACCCAGTAATTGAAAATTTAGTCACATGATTAAACCACAAATACCTATCAATGTATGAAAAAGAGAGATAAAGAATTTCCAAGCCCTGAACCCAAATTTCAAACACAATCACAGAAATTTCCAAACCGCGATAACCACCAGGGTCTTCAAAAATCTAATCTGCATTAATGAACTAAAATCCAAAAAAACTCAACACTCATTCGAATCATAACCCCAAAATCGCGTCACCAATCAATAGGGAAGAAATCAAGAAACGAACTCCCAAAACGCGAATCAAAACGTACAAAAGAAACCCCCAAAATCAGAGAACAAATAAAACCCTAATTCCAAATCTCAAATCGGAACAAAACCCCAATAAGAACCAAGAGAGAGGAAGAGGGAATGGAGCCCACTCCCTATGCAAGCTGAACCAGAAGGAAGAAGAAAAGAGTCATCTGTTAAGAGAGAATTTTCTAATGAGATTTTATGTATATGTGATATCTCCTATTAGGGTTAGGTCAAAAGCAATGTAACCCTTTTTTTTTTTTCTTTTAAAAAAAGGTAATTGAAAGGAATCCTAAGTCATTATTATTAAAATTTCTCTTAAAAGTAATAAAAAAATTAATTAAATTTTTTTTTGGATAACGAGTATCCGCGGGTTGGATAGTATAATACCCGCATCCGACCCGTTTAGAAGCGAGTATTAAAATACCCGCTACCCGTTACTCGCGGGTAATAAATATTCGCGGATAGTAACTATCTGTCGCGGGTTTTATCCGCAAACGTGAATTTTTTTGCCATCCCTACTCTTGGCGTTGAGTGATATGTTGAATGCCTCATTTAATGTGTCAAATGTAGGAAGAAAATGTTTGAGGGTCTATGCTTGTATGAGTTAGTAGTATTTTATATTATCATGATTTTTTATTTGTTCAAAAATGATTATATATATATATATATATATATATATATTATATAATATTATAATCTATATATATATATATATATGAAATTGAAATGATGGTCTATTAATGATTGATAATCAAAGAACAATGTGATTATATGTCATGGGTGATGAGTTGAGTTATATGAAAACTGTGATGGAAATATTGAATGATTATGTTAAAAAATGAAAGGTGAATCTTCTAAGGATTTTAATATGATAGATATATAAATTATATGTATAATTTTTTTGGCATGCAAGGCTATATTCTCCCAAACGAGGGAAATTACATTCCAATAAGATTAGTGTGATACAATTGCTAGGGATACTCCTCGATATCCTTAGACTCTATGAGGTTCTTAGACTCAGATAATAGGATTTTAGGTGGTGAAGAGTAAAGGAGGTTCTTATAACTAATTTAGGAATCGTGGGTCTTCTATATTAAGTTATAATGAATTAATCTGTTGAGATAATTCTGGATTGATAAAATCTGGATCGATCTTAACTTATATTACAAAAATGGACAAATTTATAGGAAATTTTCATAGGTGCCTAACTTCTAGTGCCCAACTTCTAGTGTCCAAACAATTCCATCAATCTAGATATTAAGTCTTGTAATCTCTTTAGTCTTGTGTCTACAAATGTGTGACGATATATGGTCATGCGATGAAATTTAAATTGAGTGTTCAATTATAGAAATATAAATTGTAATTTGATTGGACTTAATGATATTAGCTTACTCTTTTTTTGGTTTGTGTTGTATTTTTTTTTTTTACATAATCACTATTTTTGACGTGATAATGTAAGTTCAAATAGAGGAAATCAGTCAAGGTAATAAAGTCTATGGAAAAATGAATTCTTTATTTTGTTTTGGGATTAATTACTTAATATAAAATAATGACATTATACTCTTAATATTTCATAAATGGAAAAGGGTTGCAGGGTTTAAATAATCAATTGAAGTAATGACAATATCAATGCCTTTGTTTTGGGCTAGATCTATTCTGTCCGACTTTGTTGATGGTCCTTTGTTTTTGGAATTTCTTTTCGCACTCCTGTCTTTTCCTTATGCGTCTCATAAATATGAAATTTTCCGCTTTATCCTTAAAACAACTTTCACATTATATGATACAAAGATAATTTTTTGCATAAAAAAACGTTTTTAGATTACACAATCCACTTATGTTGGACTAGACCTATTCTATCCCACTTTGTTGTCGGTCATGTTTTATATAATTTGTTTTTGCTTTCACGTTCTCCTTATGCATCTCATAAATATAAAATTCTCAACTTTATGCCTAAAATAACTTTAAAATTGTGTGATCTAAAAGTATTTTCTTTATATAAAAAAGGTTTAGATTACACAATTCAGAAATTTTTTATTAACTTTTAATGGTTTAATCCAAAAGTATTTTTTCAAATTTCAAAATTCCTTTTTTTTTTTCAGAATATAGTTTTTTAATTCTATTTTATCTTGTTTTTGATTTGTGAATCTCACAAATTAGGTGAGTTAAGTCAAAACGTTAAAATTTTTTATTTAGTTAAGCTGACTGACCAATATAAGGATCATGATCCACTTTGTTATCTACTAAAGAATATGACGTGACAATTTCATATCATATAATGATTTCTTCCTTTTGTGTTAATATATATTTTCTATTTTTTCAATTGTAAAACTGGAATTTCTAACTATTAAATTACTATTATCTTGACTGTTTTTCTATTTAAATTTTAATAACTTATTCTTGTTTAAAAATAATTATGTGATAAATCAGTACCTACTATATTTTTCTAGAGGCCGTTCAACTTATCTGAGTGAAAATTGGTAACGATTGGAAGCATAGAGAGTTAAAAATTATGAAGTCTCAATCTAAGAAAATCTTGTGTTTATCTAAATAATGGATAAGAAGAAAAATAGTGATAATCCTTTAGCCACTTTTGTGTGCTGTGTATCTTTGAACTCTATGGGAAATCTTTTGAATATGTTCTTTCTGTGTACACCTTCCCTTAATTTAATGTACATTTTTACTCATTCTGTTATTGTGTATCTATCCTAATTCAAGGTTGATTAGGTTTGCAATGAACCCTCCAATTTTTAATTAAAAAGTAGTGGTCAATTACTTTTCATCTTAACTTGGTTATTAGGAATTTAAATTATTATATTTTGTAGGTAGTGATCAATTAACTTTTGAATGCTTTACACCAAGTTGTAGGTTTTTTCTTAATTTTTTAACACCTCTATAATAGCTACTTTGATTTTGATGACTATAGCTATGGAAAGATTATGTTTGTTTTACTTAATTGTACGTCTTTATATAACTATGGAAAGATTATTAATAGGAAAACAAACATATAATTCATACAATGCATTGCCATAATTAAAAATATAATTTATATACTTAAGAAAATTATTTATCATAAGTTTTAATTGTA